TCTATAACAACTCTTTAATGAAACCAGGATGATGAGTTACAACAACATTTAATTTCCTCTTGGGATTAATAGTTTTTGAATTGAATTGAATTATCTCACAGATGTAGGTTATTTGGCGTTTTGGAGACCTTTCTTCCCTGGAAGTCAAAGAGATAAGACCCATGTGTTTACAGTGCCAGCCCTGACCTTGTAAAAATAAATAAAAATGAAAATCTTTAACCTTCACCACCACTTATCAAAATATTTAGGTGAATGTATGTATACATTTACTCCCATTTGTATAATGTTGGCCCTATTTGACCACAAAATTGCAATGGCATTGATACCTATGATGAGTGTCTGCAAACCTCTGCATGCAGCTGTATAACAAACGATTCACAGTGCGTCTAAATGTTTCTGTGATATTTGGCAAATCCACAGCATTTTGTTGTTATTCTTGAATCCAAAGCGCTTCATTATTCACAAGCTGAGTCAATGAGCACTTTTGTCAGTGTTCACATTAATATTAGTGTCATAAAACTATTTTGTGGTTTAGTTGTAGGCGTAAGTGTTTTTATTTAAACCTCTTGAAATCAGACCCTGTTGAACTGGAATTTGGTTACCATGGAAGTCACAAGTGCATGAGTCAAATTTCAGTGACTGATTCATTTCAAAACACCTCTGAACCTGCACAAGGAGTATACCCTACGCAGTAAGTAAAGCAATCGTTCTATTACATTTCTTTAACTATTCATATTTTATTTATTTCACACAATTTAAACCACAGAAAGGTTTTAGTTCAAGAGAAAATGATTTTTAATAGTCTGATGTATGTGGTAGTGAGTGGGTCAAGAAGGGTGACACTTTTTCCCCACTTAATTACATTGTTGCTGTTGTAAAAATAGGACCACCAGGTCAATTTACTGACCAATAATAGGTTGAATAACATATTATGTAACATTATCATAATTTATAAACTATTTGTTGAATTCTTCAAAGTAAGCTAGTTATTTAAATACAGAGGAAAGACTATCGTGTTTGTATATTTTCTACCACTCCACTGTCTACTTGTCAAGCATGCGAGTTCGTTCAACTTTAAATAAAATTTAACATTTTCTACCTTAGAAAGTACGTACTTGGATGTTAAATCTTATTGTTTGTGTGATTCTTCACACTGTTTTTATTTTTCAGAGCTGATTTCAAAGCTGAAGGCGACTCTGCTCATGGACCCGAGCAACACCAGCATCATGTCGTTATCAACGGTAAGCCACCATAAGGTTTAGCCACCCTGAAGAAAGTTTAAACTGGTTGCTAGGTAACAGAAAAAGCATTCAAAACACATAATTAAGACTTTTTACATCATAAATTCTACTGCTTCAATTACTACTATTATTATTATTACAATTGAACTACATTCTAAATGTTAATTTGTTCAATCTGTACTAATTATTAGGAATATTGTATTTCCTGTTTGTGGCAGGCTTCACTACTAATGTACTGGTGTTTATGAAGCTGATACAGTAGTTGCTCTGCTCACTTACGGGAAAAGGGTTTCATGTCTGCAAATTAATAATGTGCAATTATATCCCTCAATTCCCAGTCATCTGCTGAGCATGGTGAAATCCAGGCATATCAAAATGATGAAGGAGATAGTTACACACGTTACAAAAGTGTGTCATGATTGAAAGCACATATCGGGATTAATGCTATTGTAGGAACTTTGTAAAACTAAAAATACCCTAGTTTCTTTCGTATTTTTTTCTCATCATTTGCTTAAAATGATAAACCAGCCACTAGGGAGCACGAGCCCGTGTATTTCTTATGCCAGTCCCAAGCAAATGGCATATCAGGTTTTCTGGAACTGGTATTGACTGTCACCTTCATCTCTCTCTTTTTATTTATTCATTTATTAATTTTCTTTTTTGTTTGTTTGTTTTGTTTGTGTGTCACTGAAAAAGATCTGCACAGTCCCAGAAGAAACTGAAGACAAGGATGGAGATGGTGAGGAGCAGCTGATCAAGTCGATGAAAACTACAGATAAACCACCATGCATGGACCAGAGTGAAGAGAAGCTTGAGGACCTTAGGGATTTAAAACAACATGAACCCAAACACACTGGCAAAAAAAAGTTTATCTGTGACCAGTGTGGCAAGAGATTCAACTTCTCAGGAAATCTGAAACACCATCAGCGGATCCACACTGGAGAAAAGCCTTACACCTGTGACCAGTGTGGCAAGAGATTCAACACCTCAGGATATCTGAAACGCCATAAGCAGATCCACACTGGAGAAAAGCCTTACACCTGTGACCAGTGTGGCAAGAGATTCAACACCTCAGGAGATCTGAAAGTTCACGAACGGATCCACACTGGAGAAAAGCCTTACAACTGTGACCAGTGTGGCAAGAGATTCAACACCTCAGGACATCTGAAATGCCATCAGCAGATCCACACTGAAGAAAAGCTTTACACCTGTGACCAGTGTGGCAAGAGATTCAACTTCTCAGGAAATCTGAAACGCCATCAGCGGATCCACACTGGAGAAAAGCCTTACACC